TCTATAAATATAAGGCTCCTTTGTCAGTTTTGTTTACACATTATTGCTGTATCTGTAATTTCTCTCCTTATAGTCAGTTAATAAATATCGTTCCTCTGCGATTAATTCTCTTTGTTCTTCTTTACTTTTAATCTTGTTTCTTATTGTGATTTTTATTACTTTATATTGTGTTATTAATCTCATTCACTACAATCCATCCGATCGTGTTAGGTAGTACTGGGCTTTCTCACTCTAAAAGTTAGCTTAAGAGATAAGATTTTCTCTCACACTTATAAAATGAATACCAAACCACATCCTCAACCGATGTCGGACAACCTCAACAATCTCCCCCTCACACATCGAGCTTTGCGGAAGATCGAACACGTCTCTATATCGTTCCTCTGCGATTAATTCTCTTTGTTCTTCTTTACTTTTAATCTTGTTTCTTATTGTGACCTTTATTACTTTATATTGTGTTATTAATCTCATTCTACAATCCATCCGATCGTGTTAGGTAGTACTGGGCTTTCTCACTCTAAAAGTTAGCTTAAGAGATAAGATTTTCTCTCACACTTATAAAATGAATACCAAACCACATCCTCAACCGATGTCGGACAACCTCAACAATCTCCCCCTCACACATCGAGCTTTGCGGAAGATCGAACACGTCTCTCCCCACACATCGAGCCCTAAGGGAGACCAAACATGTCTCCATCTCACATAAACCCGTATCTTCGTGACTTTTTGGACTGGAGACTTGTTGATAAACTAGGCTTTGATACCAGTGTTGAGTGGTATTAGACCTCTCTCACCCCAAAAGTTAGCTCAAGAAGTGAGACTTTTCCTTACACTTATAAACTGAATACCAACCCCATCCTCAACCGATGTGGAATAACTTCAACAGAGTTGTCCTGCAAAAATTAATTAAAGACTTCTAATTATTCTTGATTCAAATGTTTTTGATTGCGATTAAACAGATGGACGTTATATGGAGTTTTACTCGATTTAGGCTTTCCTCTTTAGCTTTAGGTTCTCTAAACATTTAAACCCGTACATGACAATTTCTTAAGGAGTATTCCTATCTGATTAATTTTATGAGTC